TGATGATTTTAGCCACATTTTTGAATGGAATTGTCTGAAAATCCACACAAGGAATTTTTTCTGGGTACTTTACCCCTGGAAGAGAATTTTCTATATAAGTCTACAATATTGTATAGTCTCCTTTACAACGGTACCTCCCGATATTCGGTATTTTGATGATTGTAGCCAAAATTGTCTGAAAGTCCACAAAAGGATTTCTTTCCGAGTACTTCATTATTGTCTATATAGGACGTATATTCCGAATATAACGCACCTAGCTATATTCGGTATTTTGATAATTTTAACAACATTTTTCAATGGAATTGACTAAAAACCTATACCAGAAATTCTGTCCAAGGGACGTTATTCACCTGAGTTGTTTCAAATTTCGTACCTAAAATTCGTAATGGCTGTGACAAAAATTACTTATGCAGGCCCACGTCTTCGTTTAGACTCCATATGTAAATTTCATATTTAGAGTTCGTAATGGGAACTACAGCATATGACAGAAAATTGTCTATGCAGGTCCAGGACTTTGTATAGGCCTCATATTTCAGTACCTCCTAATATATTCGGTATTTTGATGATTTTAGTTACATTATTTACCGGATTTTTTCAAGTTTCGTATTTCAATATTGTTATGGCTTATGACAATAGTTACATATGCAGGCCCATGTCGTCGTGTAGGTCCTAATATAACAGCTACATTCGGTATTTTAAGATTTTAACGGATTTTATTGTTTTGAGAATTGCTAAATTCGTTCCAAATGGTGAAGGGTATTCAAAGTTCGGCCCGGCCGAACTTTTTTTATTTGAATAAAAAATTATAACTTTTTTCGAACTGACTGCAAATTTTCTTATAATCTCTCTGTTCACATGTCAGTATGGGTTCGTAGATCAAACCTCAAAGAGTTTCCGGTTCTCAGGTCAAACTTGTTTAGGTTTTAATAAACAGGGTTTTTGAGATTTTCATCCAAGTACGTGTTCTTGGTAAATATAAATGGAGGAATATAGATCCATTTTCTCTTATATCTCTCCCACAAAAGTTCAACATTTTCAAAAATTATGCACCTTTCTTATTTAGCGAATGGAAGCTCAAATTTGACAGAGAGAAACATTAAGATAAGACTTAGGTCAGGTGGATCTCTCCTCTCTCCTCTTTGTATTAGGGCTAACTCATTCGGTATCCTCTCAAAAAAGTAATTTAAAACATTACTATGTCCATCAGATTATCTAAGGTTATAATTTTATTTTTAGAAAGTGTCCACTACTTCAACAAAGTCCACCTTAAAATTTTGGATTCATTCCAACAGTTCGTGTCAGGCATTTATATACCCTACACCCATATAGGTAAGGGTATTAAATCTTTGTGCATTTGTTTGTAACTTAGAAGGAAGCGAGATAGACCAATAGTTACTTCTGAGAATATTTATAGAATTATTTTCTGAGTCGATTTTTGCATGCCAGTCCCTCCATGTATTCTTGTGAACAAAATGCAGGTCGCATTTATTATCTGATTGAGATTAAATTTTGCAAACAATATTTCTTTGGCCCAAGGAAGAACCCTATTAAAATTGGTGATATTCGGATCAGATTAAGATATAGCTCTTAATAAATCTTCAACCGATTTCGGGTTAATTGTGCACCAAATGACCAATATCTATCCAAAAGTCTTAAATATTGGCTCATCCCACCGAATTTACTCTACCAAATATCTTATAGAGCTCAGAAATACCTTTGTCAAATTTTATTGAGAACGACTAAGATTTGGATATAGCTCCCATATATAATGGCTAATATCAGCTCATCTGGAGAGAATTTCCAGACATACGTCTCCATTTTGTGGAACTCAGCTCGCATATATATTTTTTTAATATAATCCTTCTCGAAGTGATATCATGCACTCTATAGCAATGTTATTTGGTACAAAAGATAAAAATGTCTCCTTCAAATTTGGTGAAAATCGATTCAGAATCGCATATGCCTCCACAATATGTTTTAGTTCCCTCTGAAACCAAACTATAAATGCTCTAAAGCTAAATGTTGATAGGTGGTATGATCTACTTCAAATAAATTATTTTCTTACGGGAACTACTAAATATGCATAGTGGTGTAGGGTATCATATAGTCGGCACCGCCCGACTTTTGATTTTTCCTTACTGGTTAGTATTCAAAATGCACAATTTGTTCAGTTTGCATTAAGTCTTCCTTTCCCCTATCGCAAGGCTAGATCCATAGAGCTCTTCTTTCTCGTCCATTAAAACATTAAATGCTTGGCGTGTTTCATAGGTAAACGACTCCCCGGCACTGCATTATTTAGGCGTTTCTTTTCTTTTTTCGGATTTTTCCATTTAAGTGTTTTTTTTATGAATTTCTATGTCTTCTTATAGCATATTCAACGGTCCACCCTGTTAAATATAGTACATATATCCCTTTACATGTCCTCACACAAATAACAGTAGAACAACAGCATTTCCCTTTGTTGTGGTTTAAGCAACAAGTGTTACAGGGAAATGTAACAGGAAACTGTTGCTGTTGTGTTTTTTTGCTTTTGCTCTTCGCCAAGGAATGAGCTTTCAGATTCCCCCCCCCCCATTCTCCCTCATCAATGTTATTTTCTCCCTCCCTTCCCTAAATACTCACCATGTAAGCAATGTGTTATAAAGATAACATTGTGCTCTTTGTCTCATTTCAAATAAAATAATTGTTTTGATTTAATTTTTTCAAGATTTTTCTTATTTTTCAAAATTGTTTTATTTTTCTTAGAGAAAATAGTTTATAATTATTATTTTATGTTTTGTTTTTCTTAAACTACTTATTATTATATTAAAGAAAAAAATGTAAATTTTATTTTCGAAATTAGAATAATGATATATATTTGTTCTAAGTGGTAGTTACTAATAAAAAAAAATATTTGAAATTTAGAAAAAAAAATGAGAATTACATTTTCAGCTATTTGTTTGATTTTGTTTTGTTAATTTTTTTTGCTTTACTTGAAGTAAATCGTTATTCATTCTTCAGTGTTTAATAATAATAAATTCGTAAATATGTTATAGTTTGGATTTTTTTGTTGTTAATTATTTTTTTTACAATTGGTTGTGTTTTAAATTTTGGGAGAAAAATATTGTGTGCTTAGGCATTAAAAAAGTAAATAAATAAAAGAAAGTTAAAAATATTTTTGTTATTTACAATTGTTTTGGGGGTTAGAGAAAATACATTGGATATGCTTACAATTAGTACAGTGGTGTTGTTTGTTTTAGAAAGATTCTGGGTTAAATTTTTTAGGAAAATATTCAGGGTTGCAATTTTTAATTTTTTTTTGGGTTTAAGTTATAAAATATGAAAATAAGCATAAATGCTATAAAAAAAATTTTTAATAACAACATAATTTGGTCTCGTTTTGTTTAGTTTTATTTTAGAAGGATGCTTTGTTAAATTTTAATGCAAAAATCATGTATTACAATTGCTCTGTTCCAATACCTGTAAGAATCTACTAATTTTGCAATTATTTTCGATATCATACAGTGAAAATCGGTTATCGTAGTAAAAACTCTTACAGTCTTGCAGTTCTGGAACAGACTAAATAACAACATTCCATTGGCCGATTAATAGATTTTTGATATTGAAAATTAAAAATTGACCATTCGATAAAACCGAAAGCCGACCATTATTTTCAACTCTATATCCTCACTATATGTTGTGAACGTTTTCAGTCGGTTTCATTCAATTATTACAGACACTTAAGGCCGTGGAAGAATAAACGCGCCATCCGTTATTTTATGTAACGAGTCGTTGATAAAACAACCAACCACAAGGAGATGGCTTTATCGTTGTCGCTCTATCGACGACGTGTGAGACGAAATAACGGAGGACGGTTTCATTGTGTTTTGGTCTTAACTGCTTCGCTTTCCAATATCAAAGCCGAATATTTTTAATAGCTAAATTTACCAAAGAAAATCTGGGCTTCAAAAGAATTGTAAAATATTTTTTTTTTTAAGGAAAATATTACCGACATTTGTTGGAAGGTAATTTTGAATAACAGTTTTTAGGATTTCAATATTTTTGATTTAATGTTTTTTGTTATAAAATATTGAAAAAAAAGCATAACAAATTTTGAACTACATAGTGAATTTTGAATATAATTTTTAAACATTTTTAATTTTATATTTTTTATGGAAGCTACAGATCTTGGTTTAAATGGAGTTTTGAAATTTTTTTTTTAAATTTTTAATTTTAATATTTTGTTAGAAAAATATTGAAAACATCATAACAGAATTTAAACGGAGAACGCTTTAATTGTGTTTTGGTCTTAACTTTTTCTTTTTCCCAATTGCCAAGCTGAATATTTTTTAAAAGATCTGAGCCTGAAAGTTATTTTGAATATTACTTTTAAAAAATTGAAATTTATTTTTTAAGGAAACTATTACAGATCTTTGTTCGAAGAGACTTTTTAGGATTGATTTTTTTTGTAGAAAAATATTGAATAAAATTAATGAATTTAAACTACATAGTGAAGTTTGAATATTATTTTTAAAATTTAAAAATTTTTTTATGGAAAATATTACAGACATTTGTTAGAAAGAAATTTTGAATACCATTTTTTAGGATTTCAAAATTTTTGATTTTATATTTTTTTTATGAAAAAATATGACAGGTCTTAGTTGGAAGGGAATTTTGAATTTTTAGAATTTAAAAGTTTTTGATGTTATTTTTTGTTAGAAAAATATCGAAAAAAGCATTAAAGAATTTGATCTATATTGTAAATTTTGAGTATAATTTTTAAAAATTTTAAATTTTAATTTTTTATGGAAAATTTTACAGATCTTTGTTGGAAGGGAATTTTGAGTAGTATTTTTAATGAGTTTAAAATTTAAAATTTTGTTTTTTATGGACAATATTGGAATGGTATTTTGATTGGTATTTTTTTATTTTATTTGTTTTTTTTATAAAAATATTGAGAAAAATTATATGAAAGTATAGGTTTGGGCAAATTAAATATTCCAAATGAATTATATCTTCTCATATTTATCTACGGAATTTTCGTTTATATATTTTTTCTCTATTGTTTTAATTTCCTTGTCAATCTTCTGCTATTTTCAATTTTTTTTCGAAAAATTTGAACTATATAGTGCCTTTTGTTTAAATATGCTATACTTATTCCGACTTATAATGCTATAGAGGTGTATATATAGATTTTTAAACTTAAACATTTTTCTTTTTTGCAATTTTGGGATTTTTTGCGAAAACTTGGTTTTCTTTGATCTCATTTACCTTGTCTTGTTGTTTTTTAATTTTTCTAGGGAATTTTGAAAATATATGTGTTTTTTATGTTTTTGTGTTTATCTTAAGAAATTCCCTAAAATATTAAAGTCCCTTTGCCATACTTTATCCGATCTAATCTCTAAAGTGTGTGTTAAGGGAGGGGGAGTGTTTTGGGGTTTTTGTTTCTTATTTTTTTTTTTCAAACGAGGCACTGCATCACGTAATAGCGTTGTTTGTAACAACTTAACTCTACATTAGTCATGGTGATATATTTTAATTAAATTATTAGAATTTTGTGGGGGTAAATTGAAAAAGAAAAAAATTAAATAATTTTTTAAACTTAAAATTTAGGCCCATTGCTGGGTACCATAGGGACAGCATACCGTATAACTGGGTACCCTTGAGTACAGGCCAGACATACCCTTCATATAGACATAATGGATTGGTGGCCTCAGTATACTTTGTTGTTTCTTTTCGGGTTTCTTGTTCGAAGATTGGTTGCGGGAATTGGAATTCGAGGAGGCGGAGGAAGATGATGTGGAGGATGATGATTTACTGGATGCATTTGTGGAACAGCCACTGGTTTGGGACTTACGACACTTGGTATCCCAAACCCTTCTCAGTGGCGTACTAGAACAGGACAAGGAACGCGTTGTAACACCCGATACCGTGGAGAAATGTTGCAGCATACTTTTCACTGAGGATGTAATGGACAAGCGGCTCAAATGCAAACCCTTCGATGAGGATGTGGTCAGCGAACAGGAAGGTGTGTTTGACACAGATGCGGGTGAGGATTTAGATTTTTGTGTAATTTTACCATTGACATTTAGGCAATTTTTATTGTTTTCCGTTTGGGGCCTGTCTTCGTGTTCCTCTACTTCCTCCTCTTCGTTATTTTCATCACTGCTCGAGTTGCCGCTATCCGCCTCACTGTAGTCGGCAATGTCATCATGACAATCCAAGGAACTGCTGGCCCTATAAATTGTGGTGGCAATATAGATATGTGGCTGATTGACGGTACAATTTTCCATATCTAATTCTTGGTCGGCCGATAGGCGTGAACAGCCCGAGGCCGATGAGGTGCGGGAATTCATTTCTTCGCTGCTCAAATCCAAACTGGAGGTCCCGGCATTGCCATTGTTCAAACTATCCAAACGAGAGTTGCGTTCATAGCTCAGCGAAAAGGAATCCGTTGAAGAGCTACGCAAATCCTCTTGGCTGTTGTAGACAATGGTATGGCCATTATGGCTCAAGGTATGGTGATGATGATGATGCGGATGGTTATGCTGGCTGTGGCTGAAGTGGCGTCCCAAATGTTTGCCCAAACAGAGCAAAAACGATTTGGATCGTAATCCTGATGGCTTTGCTGAATCGCCAGAACGTTGATTTTTCAGCGTTGATTTGATATCCGTGGTCGAAGAGGCTGCCGAACAGCCAGAACTACTGGAGTTGCTGACCTTGGCATTTTTGTGATGTGGTGATAGAGTATCCATTTTGAGATATTTGTAATCCAGAATTTTGTATCTTGTTGGGGAGTTACACAACAACAACAAAAACACACAATGTTTTGATTTCGAAATTTGTGTTCAGTTTTTTTATAATTCCAAAAATTTTTGGAATTTTTCTGAGAGTTTTTTTAAGATTTTTTAATTTAAATATTTTTGCAAAATATTTTGATTTTTTAAGTTTTTATTTCCAATTTTTTAAAAATTTGAAATTTTCAATATTCTGAATATTTTGAATTCTTTTTGAGATGTCCTTTTTCAAATTTGTTTGTTTTCACTTTTTTGGAATTTCGAATTTTTTTTTGGAAAATAGTTTCTGATTTTTTCTCCAATTTTTTCACTTTTCGGAAATTTTTATAAAATTTTCAAAATTTTTTCCTTGAGTGTCTCTTATTGTTTTGCGGTTGAACTTATTTTTTCTTTGGCTGTAGGTCTTGCTTCAGTTTTCAAACTTGTATTTTCTAGTTATCGGTATTTCAATAAATTGTGATTTTTAATCCGTTTGATAACCGTTTGCTATGCAGTTTTGAATAAAACTAACATTTCACTGTTATCCTGATGTCCTTTTATAGTCTTCGACGCCATGGTCGTTGGGTCGTGTTAACCTTCGGCTTTGGCCAAAGCTTTTCATTTGGCACATTTTACTCCTGACGCAAACGCATTTGAGGCCAGCACCACAAAAAAGCTTTAAAAGTCTCTCTCTCTCGCACCGTTTCTCTCTCCCTCTCCCCGTTTGCGGTGTTTCAAGGAGAGCCCGCATATAGCCTGTTAATGTGTGCAATGTTTGCATTCAGTGAATGTAGTGTGTCCTTAAAGGCAACAACGTGATTTTTGGCATTCAAAGGATATTGATGTTTTGTTTGTTGTTGTTGCCGATGTTTTTGCATTCAAGCGTCCTTAGTATTTGAAACTGACGACTTCGCTGAACTATTTTAATTCGGTTCACACCTTTTCCACACCGAACGCTCCTCTTTCTGCCAGGATACCATGGCCATAGGAGCAAAACCATTGACACATAACATGTGTTTTATGCTCGGCATGCTTGACTTGTGTTCCGGCAAACACCTGTTGTGGCGGCCAACCAACATTTTGTCGTCATCATTGGCGTGTTTGTGGTTCTTCCTCCTCCTGCTGTTGTTGGCCGAGTTCGATTTCCGCATCCGTGTAGTTAATTAACACGTTTAATTTTACACTTCCGTTTTGCCACCATTCTCCGTGGCTGTTATTTTTACACAAAGGGAAAAAATCAGAGAGCAATGCCAGGTGGAGGGGGAAATCACGCCGAATAGCAAGGAAGTCAAACAACGTTGATGTTTTATATTTCAACGTGACTTATTAAATTAATTTGCTGGATATTTACAATGTTCGGCATCATCGGCATCATTAACGGCGTGGTTGGCTCATAAAAGAAATAAGGAAAGGAAAATGTGACCATTGCTTCTGAGAAAACCCAGGTAGGCCATGGTATTGCGACAGGCAGCATCACAAATCAAAAGTTGTAAACTCAGTACCCCCCTCCCTCAGCCTTCCCTCAATAATTTTCTTTAGAATCCTACATAACTCTTTGGCAAAACGAGCACTGCCGCCGCTGATGATGAAACATCGCAACCCCCATCACGAGCCGTTGCACATATCCATCCATCCGACCCCAAACGGTGCAAGTCACATTGTCAGACGTGTCATAAACTCCCATTGTTGTAAAGCGGGTGCCAGCCACGTTTGTTCCTTTTCCTTGTAATTTTCAGTTGGAAAATTTGAGTAAATAGGAAAGGATGGAAAACCTGCATCAGAGAACTTAAAAACAGAAGAGTTAAAATCCAATTCAAATCCCTGATGATGACTATCGAAGATAGTCGAAATATCGGACAAATAAATTAATATATATATATATAAAAAAAAAAAAAAAAAAACAAATTCGTCTGTTTTTTTAAATTCTGACCTCGAGCCAAACGAAAAACCAGAAGAAAGTATTTTAAGATTTATAAACTTTGATTCTTTAAAAATATTTTATAAGGATTTTTAAGAGTTTTTTCAAAGTGCCATCTGCCCCATAAATGCGAATTTCTAAAACATATTTTTCAAGGGTCATCTGAGCTATATAATTAGATTTAAAAAAAAAATATTGTTCACCATCGGAACTTTATTAATAACACTTCATTAGCATAATTCAATATATTTTGTAAGGATTTTTAAATTGCATTTTTTAAAATGATTTTTGCGGATCTCACGAACTAAAAACTTGTTTTTTTTAAGAATATTTTTTAAGGATCATTTGTCCCATAACCATGTAGTTTTAAAATTAAATTTTCCAAGCATCAATCATCGAACGTGGAGTTTTTACGAATATGTTTTCAGTGATCGACCCACATGGGTCATCTGACCTAGAAGCATGGATTTGTTTTTGATTATTATCTCTAAGACTTGCGCTCTTTAAGAAAAAAATGTCAATGGCATCAATTGTGGATTTTATAAGAATATTTTTCGTGAATCTTTCAGATCAATAATCACCAATTTTTTAGGAAATATTTTTCAAGAAAAAAACCTTACTCATGACTATAGTCGAGCGAGGCCGACTATGCGATAAACTACAATACTACAATATGGTAGAAGCCCCTTTATGTCCAAATCGTTTTTGGAAGATCTCGTTTTTGTAATGGTTTCATAGAGCCTGGGCAGGACTGTTACCCTTAGCTTTTTGGCCGGGGGCATTTGCTCTATTTTTACACTTGCTGTCCTGCTGACCTGAGATCGACTGCCAAACTGCAACTGCTGTCATTGGCTCGTGAGCTAAAAATATCGCAATATTCCATTTGGCAAATATTGAAAAATGAGCTCGGGGTAAAGCCATTGAAATTCCAAAAACTGCAAGAACTTACACCGCAACACAAAGAAAATAGGTACTAAGAAGCTAAAGAGTTCTTCGCTTGGCCGAAAGTGGTGAACTGCCAAAGGAGACCAATTCGAACAAATCTAAACTTATTCTAAAATTTGATGCTATTTCCGACATTTTTGCTTTTATTCAATAAAATGAATGAAAAAAATGTAAAAATTATGGCATTTGACTTTGTTGCAGTTTTCTTTATCTCACCCTGTAGATTCGCAAGTTATGAAAAATATAAATATTGGAAATTGTAACTCTTTGTGGGTGGGGAGGCAGAAGGATTTGGAAGATCCTATCATCTTTGATTATTGAAATTGTTGTCCTTTTGTGTATGGTGGAGGGGGGGGGGAGTGTGGCACCAAGAGGAGTGGACCGATACATTCCATCTGCACAGCTTGTGTTAGTAGAAATAATTGGATATGTGAAATATGAAGAGCACCGGATGCTTATTTTGAATTTTATAATCGATGTGATTATTAAAAATGTTGACCCTTTTGTGGGGGAGGTACCAGAACGAATGCTCCGATCTCTAAAATTTTTTTTACAGATCTTGTGTTGGTGGAAATATTGAAATGTGCCAAGTCTTAATGGAATCGAATGTTAATTTCGTGTCTTATGAACTGCATAAATATTCAAAATGTTGACCCTTTGTGGGGGAGGTACTAAAAGGTGTGGACCGATATATTCCATGTGCACACCAGACATTGGGTTAATAAAAATATTGTGATGTGTGTAATTTGAAGACAATCGGGCCCTTATATCAGTTATAATTATTCAAAATTTTGGCCCTTTGTGGCGGAGGTACTTAATGGAGTGACCGATATTGTCCATCGCACCGGACCAAGCACTTATGCAAAAAATTTAGTATTTGCAAAGTTAGAGCAAAATCGGATTATCCTTTCTCTTTCTGTGCAGTAAATTACTTTATTTGAAAATTCTGATATTTTATGTAAGTGGTACCAGAAAGAGTGGACCGATATTGACCATCGCCGAACTCGATCTGAGTTTAACAATAATATTACGATGTACCAACTTTGGATCAAATCGAATACTCCCTTCGACAATTATCGTGCGCACCTGCCAGCCAGATAGACAGACAGATGGACGGACGGGTATGCTAGATCGACTCCAAATGTCCTGGAACAGATTTGGTCCAAAGAGACCTAGGGTCTAAATCCGTTATTTAGATGAGACAGGTTTTTGGCCGTATGCAATTATATATACCCTTACTAGCCATATGGCTGAGGGTGTGAAAAGGAACATTTATTAAAAACTTCTCCCAGAAAAAAATTCGATTTTTTGGAATATTTTCAAAGGTCCTCCTAGCCAAAAATAATGCATAAGAATATTTTTACAAAGTCATTTAAAGTCAGTCAAAATTAAATTTTCAAAAGATTATTTTTAGGAGTTTTTAGCTAATATCTCAAAGATTTTTTGCCCACTTTTTAGGAATACTTTTTTAAGAACCCTTGGAAAATAGGTTAAGTCCTAGTGGAATTTTGTAAGAACAAAGTTTTCAAGGACTTTAAATTCCATTTTTTTCATCTAAAAATTGTGGTTTTTGTAGGAACAGCTTTTAAGGACTTAAAGTTAAATATTGGAGATTTAATAAGAACATGAATATTTCAAGACTTAAGGTTTTTGAAAAATGTTTTGGTCAAGAGATCGTGGATACATTAAAGCCATATTTAAGGTTTCAGAAAGGTTAGTAATCAAATATGTCATGTAAAAGTTTCACTGTTGTATTTGGACATATTTTTCAATATTTTCTTTTATGCCTTTGTAAAAAAAGAAAAAAATAGTATTTTCTTAAATGAAGTTCCTTGCCAAAATACTATATCCATATCATATTACTGCTGTTTGTTATACTCATGTCTATGGATATCTCTCTCCACCACATAGAATGCCATCTAACATTTGAGCCAAGTTCAGTCGAAATTTTTAGATTTTACCGAATGCAGCTTAACCGGTAATTTCCAAGGATAATATAATTATAACTTTCAAACTCTTTTAATTAAAAATTATTTTTTTTGTAACAAAATTTACAAATTTCAATATTCTTAGAAATTTAATACGAATATTTCTGAGATTTATAATTATTTACATTTCCTAAAGGAAAATACTAAGAATTAACTACACACACACACTCATTGCCTTAAACATTCCACTTCCCATTTAAACGACATAACTGACAGCAGCTTCTG